AAAATGTTTTATTTTAACTTTTGTGTTGTATTTTGATATAATTATTAAGTATTGTTTTATATTGGTGATTTTCAACTTTTTTGTTTTGTGAATCACTTTGAACAAAATATTTGTTGCTTGATTATGTGGATTTATAAGATATAATTTTAATATTATCAAGTACCAGATAATTTTTGTTTTTCTTCAATGAATTTGTACTGGTATTTTTTTTAGGATTTGGAAAATTCATATTTGGTAATACAAATAATTACCAATGTATTGCAAATAATCTCTTCATAAGATTTAAAAATAAATATTTTTCCACAATATATTTATTTTACAGATTTGCTATACAAAAATGATAATTCATCTTTTAATGAGACAGTATAGAGAAATTTTAGTATAATATAAAATCAAACAAACTAAATTTTAATTATACTTTTTGATATGTTTCTTTGAACATAGTAACCACATTGTTTTTCCACATTTAGTAATATTTTATGACATTATGTAATTTTTTAATGTGTGGGTATTCTGGGGTTTATCAATCACCAAATGAAAACCACTGCTTTATAGAAATTATTTTTATTTTGCTTTATAATATTTTCAGAAAAAAAAAATTTTCTCCATAAATAGAATTTATTGAATTTATACTTTAAAATATTATTAATGTAGGATCGTTATAGAGATGCTGGATCATTGGCATTTTGGCTTGCAAATGCATCTGAATTACTTCATTTTTTAAAACAAGATCGTCATTTAAGTGCCTATACTCTTGATGCTCAAGATATGTTAGCTGAGAGTGTTCAATTAGCTTTCCGTAGTTTAGTTACTTGTCAGCAAGGAGAACTACAAACTGCAATGCCTGCCTTTTTAGAAGATCGTGATGATGTGAGTGAAGAAGAAGGTACTACAGGTATATGCTTTATTGATATAATAAATATAGTGTAATATAAAATATATTTTTACAAACAGAAAGTAAAGCTTCTTCATATGCAATAAAACTTCAAATTAACAAAAATAAATTCTTTTGGAAAATTTTTAACAAAATTTTCCAAAAGAAAAAAGAAACAATTAGTAACTTCAAAATAAATATAGTGTAATATACTGTAGTTTCTAACAANTTTATTTAGAATTTATTGAATTTATACTTTAAAATATTATTAATGTAGGATCGTTATAGAGATGCTGGATCATTGGCATTTTGGCTTGCAAATGCATCTGAATTACTTCATTTTTTAAAACAAGATCGTCATTTAAGTGCCTATACTCTTGATGCTCAAGATATGTTAGCTGAGAGTGTTCAATTAGCTTTCCGTAGTTTAGTTACTTGTCAGCAAGGAGAACTACAAACTGCAATGCCTGCCTTTTTAGAAGATCGTGATGATGTGAGTGAAGAAGAAGGTACTACAGGTATATGCTTTATTGATATAATAAATATAGTGTAATATAAAATATATTTTTATGATTATGCTGTATTTAATGCTGTTTTCAACAGAGTAATAATAATAATAATTAAAAAATAGAAACAACTTATGTTAAAAAGTTCGTTATTATAAGATTATATGAAAATATTTTTATTTTTTAGCAGAACTTTTCATTTTTTAAAATCCATTCCTAAAGAATATGAGAGAAGTGCAAATCATTATTTTTCTCATCATACATATCTGTTAGATTAGATTAACATCTAAGAAATTTAAAACTTTTTTGAATTGTTGATGTTAGTGCATAATCATATTTCTCTACGTATTCAGATTTCAAGTTAAAATTTTTTAATCAAATATGAAAACAAATATTTATCAGTTAAAATCTATTTAAATCAAATCTTTTCACTAAACTTAAAGTTTTGATTTGATTTTGTATTATCCTTATTATGATCTGCTTTACTTGGATGACATCATTTATTTAGAAATGCATTGTAAATAATAATAATACGGTGAGTGATTGGTTAACAAACAGTTTGGACTGTGAACAAATTGGACAATGAACATTCTCAAGAAAGATTTTTATGTTCGGATAATAAACAACTGACAGAAAAAACACAAGAAGCAATGCTACATTTTAGATTTGTAAAACTATACCGCCTGAAGAAGAAAACCACATTAGGTTCGAAAACGTTTGCAAAGTCCTCTGTATTGGAGAAGAAGAACGCCGGTTACAGGCAGTGAAGTTGAGTAACTATGCAGTATTTTAATTAATTAATGGTCTATGGAATGAGATTTTCACAGTTGTATACATAACCTCTTTTGCACTAGTTAATTTCTGTTTTCTGAATTTTTGTAAGTGTTTTTCTGAACTTTTTATTTAAAAAACTAATAATATTATGGGGCCAAAGTTCTTGACACCACTCAAGAACTGTGTTCACTATAGAAACTAAGCAAGAGATAATAGCCAAGGTAGAAAGTGGACAGAAGATGTCTGATATTGTAGGCAGATGACTTTGACAGGTCTACAGTAGATACAATCTTAGCTAACTTGTAAGAAAGATATAGTCAAAAAGACTGAAGTAGATAAAGGAGTAANATGCCTTAGGTGATTGGGAATGGGGGAGAGTTTGTTTTCACGTTTTATTCGCTCGTTCTTTGTCATTAACATTGTAATTAAAATCCGATTTTAATAATTAATAACGGCGATAAAGGCTTTTTTTATATATATAAACGTAACATTATCGTTACGAAAAACACATAAATGTAAAGATGAACGTTCCGGATGTTTAGTTGTTACGTATTTTTGTTACTGAATTGTGTATTTTTTTTTATTGTCTTTACGACAAAAATAACATTTTATTGTCCATTATGAAAATATCGGATTTTCTCATTAAATTCGCTGAATTTTATGGAAAAAAGTTCATTCCGCTCTAAAGAGAAATATAAAAATTTATGTACTTCGATATTTTACTTTTAGTAATGCTCTTGCTTTTATTTCTTTTTTAAAAATTGCCGCCTATTTTAATAGTGCCTTTTTATCTTCTACATTCTGTGCACGTTTGTATGTCTGTACGTATCTTATACGCATATTTTTCTAAGTATGAATGCAGCCCGCACTTACAAAATGGCATTTCCTCCACACTTTGCGCCGTTGAATTACTCATGCCAACGATTATATGCACATTTTCTCAGTTCTGTATGCAGATAACTTCTCTTTCTAGCATACATGTCGGGTTTAATACAGTAATCTACCTCTATTTTACAATAGAATCGTCATTTTATTGGCTGATCCTTCCGCTTCGACCTCACTTGCACAACAGCACTTAGTTTTAACACTTAAATTGTTACGCAACCGAATTTGCCTTTCGGTATCTTAAGATTAATTAACATCCTGACTATAATTAGCTGCGAATCGAGTATTATAATGAGAAAATTGAATTTTCTCGAGGAATGAAAACTATAATTAGTTTCAATTCGCTTTCGTTAATGCCATGACGTTTCCTAATAAAATTTTCAATCCTATTTCAAAGCCATTTGCATCGTTTTAAACAATAAAATATTGATTAATTTGCTAATTTTTGTCTTTTGGATTAGGAAATTTTAGTTTATTTGAAAAATTTGCTAATAATTACTTTGGAAGTCATTATTATTTTTTGTTTTTTAGCTGATGTTCTAAATGTATTATCAAATGCAATGTCATTGTTAAGACGATGCCGGGTGAATGCTGCTCTGACTATTCAACTCTTTTCTCAGTTATTTCATTATATCAATATGTGGCTATTTAATAAAGTTGTATGTGATGCAAGACCAAATTTATGCACTCGTTTGTGGGGAGTAAGATTTAAGAGAAGATTAGGCAGAGTGGAAGCTTGGGCAGAAAAACAAGGTCTCGAATTAGCTGCAGATTGTCACTTAAGTCGTATTGTTCAGGTACTAATAATCATTTAATATTTTTTTTTATTTAAATTTACACATCTTTACAAATGGTTTGAAAAGTTTCTGTTAGTACATATTTATGGTACAATTAATCTAATAAATTGGTTACTATGCATAATCACTGGCTATTTTATAAAGTAATGAATATTATTTAGATTGCTTTTGTTCGTTGACTTATTTCCTGTTTCGTACTAGCACACTTTCTTATAGATGGACTTATCAAACTGGACAGCCATGGAACAGAATGACCTTAAGACAGTATTTTCTTCTATGTATTTATTATGATTAGACTTGTTAGGTTTGAAATGCATATCATAGTAAAGTTAAATAAAAAATTTAACTTTACTAAAATTTAGAGATGATACTAAAAATATATCTATTATTTTTAAGTATAACAAAATAAATTTGTGTATTCAAACAAATTAAATGAACTCTTATCTTGGGGATTGCTGTCAACTAGTTTGAGATTAGAGTAGTAGAATACCAATAATAGAACACATTGGAAATCTGCCAAAAGGGAGATTACCCATATGGGAGGACTTCCAATGGAAAACTAGCCCTATTTAGCTGTCTTGTTAGCTTGTTACTCACCTGAAGAAGACTCAGAAAATTCCATTCACTAACCCTTTGGTCAGATATTAACCTACAATCAACTATCAGTGTTCAGTGGTTTTATTTACTCAGCCAGTGATGGGCTAACGAGGTTGGGAACCTTTGATCAAATTGAAAGGATAAATTTGACTTACAGTGAAACATTATTTTTAATCAATAATGAATTGTTTATTAATATAAACCACAATATACATTGACATTTGATTAAATTATGTGAATATAAGTGTGTAAAAATTTTGCAATAGTTGAAGATTGTATTTCATAAAATGAATAAACAGTTCTTTTTATGAAATGCAATCTATTAATCTTATCAATTCTTATTTTTTGATTATAGATTTCTTTATCATATATTTTTAAATACTGAGATTAGAAATGAGAAGTTTTGAAATATAGACATTTTAAAAACACCAAAAAGTAATCAAAACCATAAGTTTTGACTTAATAAAATCTGTTTATAGCAAAAATTATCTATTGTATTTTATTAGAGACTAGCAGACCCCGCCACGCGTTGTTGTGGCTCAAAATGTATCTATTATAAATGTATAACACTTCTCCCATGGGGGGAAATTTTTTGAAAAATTTCTTCTTAGTGTACATTCTCTTGACGTATTCTATTAAAACGTAATCAAAAATGCAAAAACCCGCATCTAAAATAGTATAATAGAAGCCAAGTTTTTCACAGTAAGCCTTAATCCTGTCTCTCTCCCTTGCGGTGGAATATCGAAAAATTACTTCTTAGTGTACATTCTGTTGACGTACCCTATTAAAACGCAATCAAAAACGCAAAAACCCGCATCTAAAATAGTATAATAGAAGC